AAAAGTTCATTTTAAAAAGAGTTTACAGGAGTGGAAAAACTGGTTCCTACTCCCATTAGGCAGAAAGAAAAAAATGCAGCTGATGTAATGAATAAGTAAATTTCTCAACACTCTGCCGACGTAGGTTCTCAGTTTCGCAAAGTAGCTCCAGAAACAGTTTCAGACAAAGCCAAAACTGGTACTGTTTTGTTTATAGAAGTTACCTAAATACTTTCTATTACAACATTTTTAACTTAAGCACAGCTAAAAGCTTCCAGGACTTATATGCAACTCTGAGGCTGACTGCTATGCTTCATTGCATTTTAAATACAAATCACGGACAAGATAAAGGTGCCAATTTGGAAGACTTATTGCAGGAAAAACTGACTGAGCTATCCTACTGGCCCACACACAGCAAAGGACCCCAAACTGTACCCTCTTCATAAGGAACTGCAGCAATTGCCTTGGAGTATTTACAAAGGCTTTGCTAAGCATAAACATGAGCCATTTCCCAAAGAGAAAATCAGTGGGAGGATGACACCGAATTTACAGAGCTCTCTGTCTCTGTAATCTCATCCCCTACTTTTCTGAATCTTTTCTAGGGCTAGTAGGCAGCAGTAGTGATCAGAAGACATAACCGACACAGGCAATCAGTCAATGCATTGGTCCTAATTATTTTGGCATTATGCATTTTGATAAAGTTGGAGTGGGGCCTGGGGGAAAGGTTGGGTGTTTTCACTTTGCTCCAGGTCAGAAACTTCTCACTCTACTACCAGGAGATGAGACCACTTGACAAAAAGCAGCCTATGACACGTATTTTTGTTTTGTACGGGCACTAACTTCAAGGTTGCTACTTGCCCACGCCTGCTGCCACACACTTCACCCAGCCCTTTATCTGTATCTTACAAAACCACTGTATCTGCCTTCCTAACTTAGGTCAAAGGAAGTTCCACCGTTTCCTTTCATGCAGGTATCATAAAGCAGACCGGAAAAAAAGACTGGTTTTTTCTGTTTGCAAAGGCAGATACTTTGCAATATTTCCAGAAGCGCTCAGAAAGCACAAGATGGGAAGAAAAGGGTCAGGACAATATAATCAGAAGGAGATATGAAAATTCACAATTAACAGTCACACATCCTCATTCCACAAAGCTGTTTAAAGTAGATCACGATCCTTCAAGAGGAAGGCATTATGCCTCCCATATCTAAATCTGTGTCCATTTATTCCTTGCAGGGTTAACAAGCCAGAATAGCAAAGAGCTGAATGTTCCTAAGAGACAGTTTGACATTTTCCTCCTGACAACACCTAGTACTGTTCCATCAGTGCAGTCCCAACTTCCCCCAGAATGTTTCATGGACACAAACTGACTCTGTGGCACAGATTAAACTGAGGTGTCATTTAAATCTCTTTGATTTAAAGCCAACAAAATCTTCAAAACATGTAAACTCCTATCTTATTACATCAATTACAATATTTTACCACCCACACATATACTTACAAGGGATGCGGAAGCTTGTCAAAACTAGTCAGCCCAGAGAGACTGGAATGAAGATTGAAAGGGACACATGCACGCACACACAAGAATTCAGATTTCTCTAGGCAAAGGAGAGGAAAATAGGTAGCTTTGCACCTATCAATTAAATCTTGCGGGATCTTGGAAAGTCAGGGTATACAATCCTCCACTAGCCTCAGAGAACGTCTTGACGTAGCAATGGTATTTCACAAAATCTCATTAAATCTTGCAAGAATGCAGACTGTCATTACATTTAACACACAGTACAGCCAAGCCACTCAAATTCCTTCAGTATTTCTTCTTAAATACAACCCAGGAAATTATTTCAGACAGTGTTTGTCACGCGAGCTTGGAATGACCTCATCCTAATTAACTATTTGTAAATGAAGCTTGCTGTTCAAAGGAAAATCAGCCCTAAAGCTTGTGCCAAGTTCCAAGCTTTGCAACACCTGGGGTTGCTGGGTTTTCAGGGTGTCAGCGTTATTAACTGCCCTCAGCAACCGCACCCGGTTCAGTTTCAATGTTAAAATGCAGATCTGGCCAGTGCCAGGTACAAGAAACACACGTTCTTCCTATGTTAGACATAAGACAACTGATCAATTAAACTAATGTTTATTACAGAGAAAAATGTGCAAGTGCCCAAGGAAGGATTTAAATAGCTTTTGCCAAACCTACAATCTTTGCACAGCCCTTAGTCAGAAGTCAATGGGAGTTGGTGGAGTAAAATAGGGCTAATTACCAGTATTTTTCTTTACAAATATGCAGTTGAAATCTGAGCATGCCCAAGAGGCTGACCCAGCCCTCATTCCATTCTGATCACTCAAAAAAACCAAGCGAGCTCTAGCTGATGTGACACATTCATACTATGAATTGGTCTTGAAAGACATTAAAATCAGCCTCCAGGATGGTGAATGTTTCTCCCAACCATTCTGTTCTCCTCATCTAAGTTTCCAGAGCCTTGATTCAGGCTGTCAGTTAAATTACTACCCTTTTACGGATTAAAAACAAAACAAACAGAAATAGCCGAAGTTGGTAGTTTCAAATCACTTGGTTCTGTCACCAAAGCTGCATTGCTTTACTGCTTGGTACCTATACCTCTTCTGTACCGAATGTGGAGGGTACTGCTCACTGTAAAATACAAAACAAAAGGCACAGTGTAAGGATTTCTTGTTGCTCTAAAGAAACAAGAAATTCCACCAAAAAGGAAAACACATCTAATCCATGGATGTGCCATGTCAGCGCTGGAAATACAGACACAATAGAAGCAGAACTTAGATGTATGTATTTTTTGATCACTAAATTCAGAAAGAGACACAGTCATTAAAGATGCTCACGTAACATTTTAAACTCCTATTTTTATAGGTAATAGATTTTTATGGATTTATATTTGCATCTGTAAAACAATAACCCCAAGCACTATAAAGATAGCAACACAGTAATATCCAAAGCAGGATGGATACCTTCAAGGATCCTATGAATCACTTTTCCTTCAGGTTTCTATGAGCATGTCAGGGACGTAGTGGGTACAGAACAGTGACAACACTTGCCTAGACCTGGGTGAAGTTTTTCAGAAGAAATGCAAGAAA